TCCACGGCATCGGACGACGCGGATGACGCGGTCGCATGCTCCATTCGCACAGACATTCCCTTCAGCAAATGAAACAGCGACCACAAAACGTCCACAAACGTCACGGGTGCGTGACTTCAACCAAACATTTTGCATTCAGAAATTCCGAGACATGCATATTTGTTCGCTTGCTTTCAAAACAATGCCATGACATGCTTGATTTCAAAACGAAATTGAACGGTACAAAATTGAACGGTACAATGATTCCCGTAGTATTTTTTGTTCACTGCTCATGCATTTCAATGAAAACATCACATATTTTTTTTGTCCTATACATCACATAGATCCACTGCATCGTAAACAAACACTGACATTGTCACAATGCAATTCTCGAGATCTCACAGACAGCCCCTACAGAAACCTCGAGAAGTGCAAGACATGTTAAAGATACCTGTTTGCCAATCGTCACTTGTTTCACGAACATTCAGCGTACATATACGAATATGGATGTTCACTCTGTGCACAATGCATCTCGGCTCTACGTTCACATCTGAGCCCAGGAAAGAGGTAAAGAGGTAAACTATGCTTGTCACTGCAGAGTTGCACAATCCACTGCAAAGCGTTTGTTCTCTGACTTCCAAACTGAGAACACCACTCATGAGTTTGACATGGCAAAGAACCACTGTCGCAGAGACCTGCGAACTGAAGGCTGAACGCATCAGCAAAAAGACTAGTTTAACAAAGCTCGGTAACAAAAAACTCAGCAGCTCAGCAACACCATCTTGCATCATCTCGCAATGCCTCTGCATCCGAATTTCCACAGCATCGGACGACGCGGATGACGCGGTCCCATGCTCCATTCGCACAGACGTTCCCGTCAGCAAATGAAACAGCGACCACAAAACGTCCACAAACGTCGCGGGTGCGTGACTTTCAAACAAACATTTTGCATTCAGAAATTCGGAGACATGCATACCTATTTCCTTGATTTCAAAACAATGCCATGACATGCTTGATTTCAAAACAAAATTGAACGGTACAATATTGAACGGTACAATGATTCCCGTAGTATTTTTTTGTCCACTGCTCATGCATTTCAATGAAAACATCACATATATTTTTTTGTGGTATACATCACATAGATCCACTGCATCGTAAACAAACACTGACATTGTCACAATGCAATTCTCGAGATCTCACGGACAGCCCCTACAGAAAACTCGAGAAGTGCAAGAAATGTTACAGATACCCGTTTGCCAATCGTCACTTGTTTCACGAACATTCAGCGTACATATAAGAATATGGATGTTCACTCTGTGCACAATGCATCTTGTCTCTACGTCCACGTCTGAGCCCAGGAAAGAGGTACTTGGTAACTTCTACAACTTCATGCACTAACCTGCTACACACTCGCACAATTCAATGCAAAGAATGTGTTGTTCGAAGCCTGAGACCACGACTCCTGCGTTTGACAAGCAAAAATCATTGTCGCATAGACATGCAAACTGAACAGTGAAGCTCACTATGAACGTATCAATTCCCACACAGATTACCACACCAAACGAACCAAGCTCCGCACGTCCTAGCACGGATACACTAGCAAGCATTGTCACCCTCAATCTCTAACAGTTCCATGTCGTGCGGTCAAAGTACACACAAAATCTTTTACACACAAACGCTTTTACACATGGTGCTTTTACACAAACACACTTTGACACACAGACGCTTTGACACACAAAAGCCTTTACACACAAACGCTTTTACACACAGACGCTTTTACACACAGACGCAACGCTTTTACACACAGACGCTTGTACACACAGACGAATTTTACACACAAAAGCTTTTACACACAGACGGTTTTACACACAGACGCTTCTACACGCAGATGCGTTTTACACATGCACACACGCTTTCACACACAAACGCTTTTACACACAGACGCGTTGCCACACGAACGCTTTTACACACAGACGCTTTTGCACGCAGATGATTTTTACACACGCACACATATACACGACCGTGAGTTATGTTAAGAATTTTGTGAGTAGCTCACGGGATGATGGGGTCAGTTTTAAAGTCGTTTTTAAATTGAAACCGCATTTTTTTGCCCCATACTGCCCCCTGAGCATTTTCAGCATGGGACCTTTTTGCCCGGAGGTGTATGCATGAGAAGATTAATATAAAGGTGGACGAGGAAAAAGTGCCAACATGAACCCGTAAGAATTGTTTGGGGTCAAGTGTATCTTTGAGGCTAAGATGTTGGAATCAGAAGATGCATTGAGTTTGGCAGGCTTGGGTGTGCATGTATCATCTTTAAGTGATTCAATGAATGCTATCATTTTGGCTCAAGGGAGTTGACCCAAAATAGCATTCATTGCTTTTTCTTTCCCCACCCACCCAACCCTAAGAGCCGGAGATGTCCGCCTAGGTTAAGGGGGCCTGCAAGGCAGGCGAGTATATAGCCTCTATTGGGGATCCTCTCGGGTGACCAAGAGCGGCTTGCCCTCCCTTAGGTTAAGGGACGGGTGATACCTGCAAGAGCAGGTTCCAACCTGGAGGATCTAGGTAGCTGACCAGTGGTGAAACTGGTCTGAGGCTATGTACGTGTCACACAGTGACTTAGTAATTTTCCTTTTGGTTTGGGATTTTTACTGGCGACTTTTTTCTTTGTTTTTGGAACCCTTTTTGGGCACAAAAAAGTCGCCCTTCTTAACCCCTTTCGCGCGCAGTGACTACCCAAAGCAAACCTGAGGATTGCAGGTGAAACTGACTCAACATTGGCAGAGCTGTGAAAAAGAGAAGCATAAGCGTGCGGGTGGTACGAAGTTCATATGGCACTTTGAGACTTTGAGATGTATATATCCTGCAGGCCCGTACTTTCCAAAACTTGACCCCGGCACAATTTTTTTTTCCCTGTGGTCAAATTTCGGAAAGGAGATCTGTGTGGAAGGTTCGCGCGCACGCGCGCCAGGGAGAACCCCAGAAGGTATGCGCTTCAGGCGCGCGCGCGGGCGCGAACCTCTTGTGCTGGGGTCAAATTTTGCTAAGGACAAGTCCAACCTGCTTTTCGGGACTGTGTTTTTTGCCCTTGTATTTTTTTTTTTGTGCTGGGGTCAAATTCTGGGAAAGTATGGGCCTGCAGGATATATATATATGTATATTACACACATATATGCATATGTACATATACTATACTACATATACATTATATATATATAGTACACTATATAAATATAAATAAATATATATATATATATACACACTATATATATATCTATTTACAGATATATACATATACATATTTGTATGTGCTCATACATATCCAAACATATTTTCAAACATCAGTATTTTGAGGTGTGACCACCACTGACCCTTTCCTGCGAGCGCCGTTAGTCACAGGCAAACTTGGGCCAGTCACGGCTCGAAAAGGCCATGAAAAGAATGGCCTTCAAGAGAAAATCCCCCGGGCCGAAGGCGGTTAGGGTTGTGCGGCGGCGGCAAAATTTTTGCCTGCCGAATGGTATTGTTTGGTGCTTGCTGAGAAGAGGGAACGAGAACAAATATGTGCTTTGGATTTTGGATCAGGATCTTAAACTATTTTTTCGTTTTTCTGTAGTTCCCTGGGAAAATCAAAGCTTTAGTTTGAGTTTTTGTTTTTTCCATGTGGGTTTGATCATAACTACAGGGCAGCGTCCTGGTTCTACAAGTTCAAGATGGCATACCGACTGCAAAGTTTGAGGGAACGTTCAACCCAGCTGTAACTTCGAGTTTGCCTTTGAAGAATTTTCGACACCTGCGCCACATGTCATCGATTTGCCAAGCGGACATCAGGATCCTTTTTGCCAGGAAACCGAAGGTTGTGCAAGTGAGCAAGGCTTCCGATGTTCTGCAGTGGGATCAGTTTGCAGCAACTTACCCAATCTCAGACAACATGGAATTCCGTCAGCAGCACATCAGGTACTTTGGTAGGAACAACATCTTTGCCATGAAACACACCCCGGAAATGTAGGTGAACTGGTGAAACCTTTGAGTTGGGATCGCATAATGTAGCCATGTAGCCATGTGGAGCTTAGTTAGTTTATATATAATATATATATATTTATTTAATACGTATTATATATGTATATATGTTATATGTTTTCTGGTCTCCAGCAGCCGCCTGGGGGATATTCTTTGTATTTTGTTTAGGAAGTGGGAGTGGGAACCCAGCCAGCGTGATAACAGCGTTTATTTTATCTTAGGGATGCAAAATGACATGTGACATGGGTGTGACCCTTCGATGCACTCTTACCCTTTCCCTTCCCAGGCATGGTGTTCCTGGGCGCTGTGACAGTGACCAGATTGCCGCTGAGACGTCAGAGTCAGCAGTGGTGGCAGTGGGAAATGGTGGCAAGCAACAGCCTCCAACCCAAAGCACTCACATGGAGGTTTTGTTTTCGCGGATTCAGGAAGCAGCTGAGAAAGGTTATTTTGGCCTAGTGAAAGATTTGTTGAAGGAAGTGTCTAAGTGCTGCACTGCGCTTGAGGCGAAGGTGAGCAGACAAGGTTCAAGTTCAGGCCCAAACAGTGCAGAGGGTCAGCGACTGCCGGTCGGTGGCTGGAAGTATTGCCCAGAGTTTATGTTATGGTCGGTTCTCCTTTCTGACAAATTGAGCCTAAACTGCGTTGATTCCGATTCCAGTGTGATTAGGTCAATCAGGTCTTGATTGGCGCAATGCATCATTTTATGTCACAATCAGAATCATGCCATGTTTATGTCAAGGTGACCATGCGCCGCCACCAAGCCAAGGACATGCCCAGACAAACTCGCAGCTGCCATGCTGCTGCCGGGCCCTAAGCAGTGTCCAGCTTCAGATTTCAAACCAGTGAGGACAGCAATAGGGATTTTATTTGCTTTGCCTAGGTCCTTGCGCTTGTGCCTCCCAGTGCATCTTCTGCAGCATCTGTCACGCCAGGGGCTACAATGTCCGTCGCGGCAAGCGCTGCAAAGGAGCAGGATTGAGCTGGATCTTGCTAGCATGATTTATTCCAGAAGGTATGTCTTGAACAGCACCAGCACATGGTGGATGCACCTGAGAGCAGACTCTTCCCCGCAAGGGGGGAGGGATTTCTTTATTGCCGAATATGACTTGTGCAAGTTTGAGGCAGTTGAGGCAAATTTGCTTGGAGTCCCTGTGCCAACTCTTTTGGAGACAGGGCGGATGAAATTGGTGACCCGATTGCTCCCGTTGTCTGTCATAGGCTGTCGAGCTGCATCGGCCGTGCACAAGGGCCGCAACCTGTTGAAATCGCTGGCGCTGGACTCTGAAGATTTGAGGGTTAGCATTTCCCGGACTATGACAATGATGTTTGATTTTGGAGCTGAAGCAGGATTGCAACCCACCACCGCCATGCAACAGAAGCAATTTGAAAGTTCGGAGGTCATAATCATAGTTCATAGTTCACAGATAAGAGGGGCGGGCTTATGTTTTAGTTTTTCAATTTGTGGTTGGATATGGGTTATAATTTAAAATCAGTGTCGCGCAGAGTCTGACTGGCAGGACTTTGGACATTGCAGGCAGAAGAAGGCATGGGCCGGCTCTTTTCCAATTCTCTCCCAATTGCGGATGGGGATCACGCTCTCCATCATGTTTCTTTGCTTCTGCTTTCAGTTGGCTGTAGCAGTTTTTGAAAGCATGAACATTGTTTTGCGAGTCGTAGTGCGTATTGTAAGATCAGAAACCGCACTTGCTGATTTCTCAAGTTGACGCTGCCCCGCAACAAGGTAATGGAGGAGATTCCAGTGGCATTCCCAGAGTGGCAAGAGTTCAAAGATACTTTGAGTGCAATGACTAAAGCTTTTGGTTCATATCATCGGTTGGACCGCTTCAGAGATGTCTGCATCAACAAAAACCGTTCCGTGCCACAGGACAGTTGCTGTCAAAAGCTGGCTGGCAGTTGTGTTTTCTTCGCTGTGCGTTTTTTCATTTGTATCTAGCATCCAGCGTGCCTGGCAGGAGTTTCGTCGACCGCTGGCTGATCTGTTCAGGGTGGTTTGCCCGCAGTTTGTAGAGCACCGATGGCAGTACTTGTACGAGTGTGTTCAATGGGTACTATCCCGCAAGGCAGCCCTCCAGTACTTGAAGTTGAATGACATTGCACAAAGCGGGGAGAGGGATAGTGGTGAGAGCGACAAACACCAGCTTTCTTCTAGGCACTTAGAACTTCTGGCAAATTTGAGCGCGTCCAACGAGCAATCTTTGCGATTTTGGACCACTGCAGGGCTCACCGTGATTTTGGCCACTTGGGGGCACAGGGTTAGTGGATATCTACATTCATGCCCATGTCATCCACTTCCCTCCAACAAAGATGCGAATCGAGAGAGGGCGAAGCAGCGAGATAGACTCTGGTTTCAGGATGTTATGACCAAGCCAGAGGATGCATGCTGCCCAATGGCAGGCAGGATGGCGGTCGCCCTTGCGTCAGGCTATGCACAGCATGCTCTCGACAATCTCAAGTGCGCGGGGATCCCAGCAGCTTTGCAAAATTCCCTGGACGACTTGAATTCTTTTGGCAATGATGGAGGCACACGCCTCATGAGCAACTTCCAAGCTGCCAAGGGCAGACTGACGTTTAGGATGACGCAGAGTTTTGGGTATTGGACACGCCTTCCATGGGCTTTGCTGATGATCATGCGTCCATATGTGGAGACATTTTCGAGTCCTGAAGAGGCCAGGCCATGGCTTCATTGTCAGATTGTCAGGGGTTATGTGGCAGTGGCAGCGTTACTGTAGTTACTCCTCATCCTTCTTGCATGAGTTTGTTGGTTGCTTTTACTTTCCACTGCTTGCAGGTGCACGTGTGCATGACGCAATCCAGAACAGCTGCAAAACTACTGGTCCAGAGGCATGATTCGACGGACAACAAAGCAGGGCTGGGAGTCAGAGTCTCAGTAGGGTTTCGTTGTTTGAGGTTTTGGGGCATCAGCGATGACGATGATGATGATGATGACGATGATGATGACGATGATGATGACGATGATGATGACGATGATGATTGTGATGGCTTACAGCTTGTGTTGTGAAAGTTTCCGCGTCTGAGGCTATAGCTTTCAGATTCTTGAATGAAGCAGGGCCATACAGACAGCACCTACTTGCGTGGTCTGCAGGGAATGGACCTATGTTTGGACCCATGTACGTCGAGTTGATTGGGTACGCAACTGGGTTAGTAGTCATGCAAAGATTGGAGTCGCGCCACAGTTTGTTGAAGAGGTTCTTGGCATGGCGGCACAAGCAGTACCCGGCCACCCTTTCAGCTGCCATGCGACGCCGGGAAAACCAAGACTTGGAGGCGCAAACCTTTCAGGACAACCTTCCTGAACTAGTGGGTGCCATTGGGGAGCTTGATGCCGGGGAGTGGACATGCAAAACGCAGTTTCTGGAAAGGGTGACTGGTGCAAGTGCTGTTGCTCTTCACGATTCACTTGCTGAAGAAAAGAAACAGAAAGAATCCTTTCACAATGAACTTGCAATCATGGCTGGCCAGAAGCAAAGAGTGTCCACCCAAGAGGCTTCTCTGATCCCAGCCCCGGCAGCCCCGGTTTCTCAAGAACTTGACTTGCCTCTCATCCGGGAACATGCCAAGTCTGTATTTGAAAAGAACAAGTTCTATGCTTTGAAGGGTTACCAGTCGCGCACATCTTGGACAGTGTTTCGCTTGTTGAGCACAAACCCTGGGCAAAATATGTATCTCCAGAGAGCATGCTTTTTGTCAAGTGATGACCTTTGGCATTATTGTCATTGTTTTCAAGCCATTGTTAAGAGGCTTCTTGCTCATAATTTTGATGGGTGCTTGCTATGTTTTTATTTGGTGCGCCCCCAAAACAGGATAAGGAACAACTTTTTCAGAGGGACTTCCTGGGGACTTCCTATGTGCTGAATTCATGCATTGTTCCTTCCAGGAATGGAAAGATTGCATTGCAGTCGAAATGGTGAATGGGCCAATGGAAACAGATGATCCCCCACAAGTTTGCGAGGTGATTTCTGCTGAAGTAGCTCCGTTGAGTTTGCACAGGTTGCTGGACCCAGCGTGCTGCGTTTTCGATTTGCGTGTGTATGGAGAGGCCATTAAGTGGATGTGTCGGAGAGTCGGGACAGGTTTTGATGTCAACGGGTTGTTGTTGAGGGCGCAGGTCCAAATCTCATTCTGTGTAATGTGCATGTGCTCTGTGCTCTTGATCTGTCCGCAGGTGAAGACTACACGAGCAGTCTCCGAAAAGCTTTTGAGCCTTATGGTGGATGAAATTTCATCCCCTGGTCCTGACCAATCTTCAGATTCAGAATGTTTGCCTGTCGTGCCAGAAGTGGAAGACGGTTTCCAGTAACTTTGAAAAAAGAGTGTGTGGAGTAGAACTTGTGATTTCTCCGGGAGGAATGAAATCCCAATTCAATATTTTTTTTTGGTTTCGGCACATTTGGTGCAGGCATCGTGTGAAAGATGTGGCCGATCGATTGGTCCTGGGTGCTACCGTGGAATCGTTGAAGTCAAACATGTTGCTTGCACCAGTAGTCATGTGGATGGAGCAAGCAGGGGTCATAGAGCATGGCCACCTAGCTTCCAACTTTGTTACATTGACAACCTCCTTGAGTAAGCCGACTTGCTGCCCCAGTTGCGATTCCCGGCTGGGCATCAAGCATTCGTTGGAGCAAGACGGCTGGCGCAAAGTTGAAACTGTTCGAGAAGCATCGGTGGTTGACAAGTGCTTCAGTCATGTTGGGCCGTTGGAATATTTTCAGCTTTTGAAACACCATGCAGGGCGCCTCCTAGAGTATGAGGAGATGTTTCCATTCAGGCACTCGCAGGGCAAAGGCTACTACGACTGCTTTCTGGTTTTCTTTCAGAATCGCCCTGCAGAAGCTTGCAATCAAAGTTTTCGGTTATGAGTGAAGGCTTTAAGTTCTTTTGAATGAAGATTTGAATGAAGATCTTTGAGTGAAGATCTTTTGCAAGTTCCGAATGACGTGTCATCTCAGGAATGCCAGCCCGGGCAGTACCAGTTCATCCCGATGTCGCAGAAGCTGGAGTTCTACAAGAGCCTCATGGATTTTTTTTCAGGCTTGAGCTTGAGCTTTATATGACATGAGAATCCAAAAACCATTCACCCCCAGAAGTCACCCGATTAATTTAGATGATTTTCAAAGCCTCAGCCCTCAGCTTTTAATGTTATAGGGTTCCATGGCCTCTGGAAGTCTTTCACTAGTTTTTCTTTAGTAATTTTGGGGCCGTTAATGGGGAATTATGTTGTGCTCATGTTGAGTTACTTGTTGGGCTATGTGGGGTTCCATGGAGGTCTTTGGGCGGAAAACAACACCAACCCAAAAACTTTTCGGCTGAGGTTCATTTTGGGGGCTATGTTGGTCCATTGGTGAACCAACTCAAGTGGAAATTTGCCAATGTTGGGTGATTTGGTGGGCTGTGTAGGGTTCCCATGGAGGTCTTTGTGGGAAATCGAGGCTCTTTTTTTTGGGGCCGTGTTGGCAGAACGAAGTGGAAAATTGCCAATGTCGATGTTGGGCTTAAGTTGGGCCCTTTGGGTCATTTAGTACGCTATGTGGGGCCACATGCATGGAGGTCTGTGGGAGGGAAAACTAACTTCCAAAATGTTTTCCTGTTGTTGAAGCTTTTTTTGGGGCCATTCTTTACCCTCTAGAGAACTCCTGGAACAGTGCCTTTTGAATTTACATGTACTTCAGATGACACATTGGGGTACCGGCACCTGCACAGGTGTTTTTCCTCTTTCCCACCAAGTAATACTGGTGCCAATTACTGGGTGGAACGAATTAGTTTGAATCAAGAGGACCGTTTTCACCAGAGTTCATTTTTGACCTAGCATACTGTCGTGCTTCATTCATCTTCATTTCTCATGTCATACTGGCACTTTTGCCAGCAGCCCCTTCAGGTCGCGGACTGGACCCGAGAATTGAGGCCGACTTGTTGCAGCCCAAGCGGGTCAAACGGAGAAGGGGCCGAGTGGACGGTCATGCAAATGAAATTGAAATTGATGATGAAAATGAAAATGACATAGGGGTAGCCAGGGAGCAACCTGTAGCTGTAGCTGCCCCTGCTGTTGGTATCAATGAAGGTTTGGTTGATGAGCAGCCTGGACAAGATCCAGCGTTGCTAGAGCTTGGAAGGGTTGTTGATCAGTTAGATGCTGCCCGATTTCCGCATGGTCGAGATGCAGAAGATGCAGAAGCAGCTGGTGAAGTGGAGAACGAAGGGCCCGCAAACATGGAAGTAGCCCAAGTTGCGCCAGCCCCCGATGCTGGTGACCCTGTGCGCAACCACGGGGCAATCAGATGCTTTGTCTCCGTGTTCGAATGTTTTCTTCTATATAACTTGTTTTAAGAATGGAATTGTGAATTTTGTTGCAGGTAAATCTGAATGTGTTTCAAGCATGAGGTGGCATTTTTGGGCCCAAAATCAATGTTAAAGTGAAAACAAACCATCTCATGTTGAGAACCCATTTCAATGACTTGACTAGTTGGCTCACCAGTCATTTCCTAGGACACGCAGTCAAGCATTGCGAAGAGATCGGAAACTCATATCACCGAACTGACAGAGAAGTGCGTGTTTCGAAAGTGGTTCAGATACTTGAAGAGCTGGGACGCGTGCTGTTGGACCCTCGTACTGCTGGAGACACTCCATCTTCACAGGTATCGCAGGCCCATCCTGATCTTGAAAAGGTTCAGCATTCTCCAGTATATCAAAACAGGTAGTGGATTTGTAGCAAGAACCCGCATCATGCCAAGTTGTTGAAATTATTTCTTGAGAGCCGATGTCAGGCATTGGATGCTATGGTCCAGAGAGGGCAAAGATGCCCGCGCCTTACTATGTCTGCTTGAGCACCTGATCTGGTTGGATGTGAATGCCACACAGCCTACAGCCGTTTAATGCACGAATATGTTCATGAGAAAACCTTGAGGCTGGGGAGCGTATGACACTTGGAGTCGCCGGCGCACTGTGTCGGACTTAATTCTTATCACCTACTTTGATGCGTTCAAGGGTGCGTTGTTTAGCCAATTAGAGGGGGAAGATGCTCGACCGTAGCGTCTTCACACTTTGCGTTGTTCCTGGGAAAAGTGCAGATGCATTGGCAGGCCTCAGCTTCAGCTAGTGTCAGAAGATTCACGTCATTAAAAGGAAGCCATTTTGTCGCAGCAGATGATTTTTTTTGGAGGAGTTTAGCCATTCTTAATTCGTTCAAGTTCAGACTTGTCAGGATCCCTTGAAGATGTCTTGCTCAAGTCTGATCAGTCAGCTGTGCGACTGGTCAGGATTTTGCCTATGTCCGTGTTAGATGATGATGAAATTGTTTCAGCTTTAAGCAATGGTGCTTCCAGTTCCAATGCGCCTTGCAGCCACATGACACCCATACCGTCCCAGAAACGAATGAAGGAAGTAGTGAAGAAGGTTAAGAAGGTTGTGCACAAGCCAGCTTCTGCAAGGGTCAAGGTGCGTAAGTCTGTTCACAAGAGGCCTGCAGCATCGAAGCTGGAGAAGGTTCAGAAACGTGTCAACAGGCCCAAGGTACCACATGGGCTCATCACCAAAACTCCAGCAAGAGTTCAACGAGCGTTCAGATTTATGAAGGTCTTTGTTGACACTGCAACCTCCCTGCAGTCCAGGCCGACACCATGGACAGAAACTTTACTGTGCCAATATGATATCAATATGCTTGGCTGATGTTTGTCCTGTTCCGTGCTTTGGATGCTTTGTTTCATGCAACTTGAATCCACTTTCGCATGTGATAAGGACATCAAGGTGTATTCCGAGTTCTCTGGTTACCGCACAGCAGAGATTGCATGTGAATGTGCAGTAGAGCACTCCAAGACCAATGGCCATGTCATGAACCTTTCAGCTTCCTCTGCGGACATCAGCAAGAACTGTCAGAAGGTTATTGGAGAAAACCGCCAGGTTCCCAAGGAGTGCTGTTGCAAATGTGCCTCATGTGTCCAAATCGACGCCCATGTCCAAATGCTGCGGATGTTGTGCTGAGGCCCAGAAGAATGCCGATTTGGTGACATCCTCAACCTGCTTCCAGATGCTGTTCGCAAACAAATAGAGGAACCGGTTTTGTTTCCAGCAGAAGTCTCAACAGCAGATGTCAAGAAAGCTTTAGGGAAGAAACCGTTTCAAAAAATGCTGACAAAAAAAGGGAACTTAAGATGCAAAGTTGGAGACATTCGCCGTGACTGCACGCTTGTTTTTGCTGGCGAGCGGTCAGAGAGCCTTCGTGCAGATGCATATGAACGAGCAGTGGCCAAGCTTGAGGCAGGACGTGTTTCACACATTTGTGCCCTTACTCAGTGGGTTCCTTGCTGAGTACCAGTTGTTTCAGATAAGAGCCATGCCCACCACCTGTGCCATTCAAAGCTATCTTCTTGCATACCTCGTCAGGATGTTGCAGATGGGAGACCGAAGTCCGCTCAGTTCTGGTTCACCAGGAGGCCTGAACTCTCCAAGTGAGTATTCCCGTTTCCTTCACCCAGTCCCGAACGAAATTGAAAATATTTTTTGTTTTGCGTTTTTTTGCACTTGAAATGTTCGTTTTGGTCAAAAGTGCGCATGGTCATCATCATGGTCGTCATTATGACGACCATGAAAAATGATGACCAGTGGACATCATATGGTCATCATTTTGCAATGACGACCATGGTCATCATTTGATGACCATGGACATCATCAAGAATTGCATGGTCATCATGTTTAGAATGATGACCATGGTCATCATATGGTCATCAGTTTCACCTGTGTTTTTCCAGTGTTTTTGCAGGGTTAACGACCACGAGCATTTTGCAAATGATGACCATGGTCATCATCCACTGAATGATGACCATGGTCATTAGGGCAAGACGACCATGAAAAAATCGTAGACGACCATGAAATGATGACCATGGGGAATGACGACCATGATGACGACCATGGAGTCACAATCCACCAAATTGCACCGTTTTGCACTGTTTGCATTTTTTTTCCGCGCAATTGTGTTTTTTCCGCGCGATTGTGTTTTTCCCCCTGCCGGCCTTGGCAGGAGGAACTTTGACGAGCTGAAGGCTTTGATCATGAATGACAAGGTCGTGCTAAAGGATCACGACATGTGCTTTACACATAAGCGCCAGTGCAGAAGGATTCCAGATCCAAAGCGTACTCGCTCCAGAGCCCTCTTGGAATTGCTGCTGGCAGGGTCTTCCTGTGTTGATTGGAGTTTGTTTGGTAAGCATGGGGGCGATGCTGGCGCATCTGCTGCAGCGTTCATCGTTTTGATTCTTGATGACAAGTAGTCATATGACAGGACATGAGCCTAGTGCAATTCTATAGATCTGCCATTGCCATTCCACGAAGAGCTTGACCTCAGGATGCAGATGGCCAAACAAGGGCGATTTTGTTTTTTCATCCACGAGAATGTGCCGCAGTTCCCGCAGGAGGAACTCCAAACATGTTTAGGCCTATCCACTGGGCAGTTCATCAGGTTTTGTCAGGCCTGTCTCATTTGCATTTTTTTCGCCACATTTGTCTTGGAGGCAGCGAATGGTCAGTGCAATCATTCCAGTTGAGCCCTGAGATGGTTGGTTTCCCAGTGGTGCGTAAGAGACTTTACAGCCTGTGCATCCACGCGGACGTGGAGTATTTTGGCTGCGTACCCAGTCCTCTGTTTCACTCCCATGAGCATTGCATTGTTTCGATTCAAGATCTCTTTGTGGTTTGTGTTTCTTGCCCAATGCAGACTTGGTCTGGGCCCAGGTATGTTAAGGTGGCAGCCATCAACCAGTTCCTTGAGAAAGCGCAAGAGCTTCTCACTGGTCCTGCACTGACCGTTGATGAGTTTCTTTTGTCAGAGTACAATGCAGATGCCGACCTGACTTTGACAAAGCTGAATCGCAAATTTCTGGAGCAGTACATGGATCTGTTCGGACCTCGAGGGGCGACCGTTGTTGACTTACAACAAAACCCGCAAAAGCGGCCACGATGGGGATCGGCCATGTTCCCAACCCTTACCACGGGGTGCAGCAAGATGATGAACATGGCAAAACATCAGCTATATAGTGAAGGACCTAGTTGGACATTGGACAGTTTGACATTGCTTGACCGAGAGAGAGAGAGAGAGAGAAAGAGAGAGAGAGAGAGGGAGAGAGAGAGAGAGAGAGGGGGAGAGCTTATCCAGATGAAGTGTGCTTAGTCTAAAACTTGTGGGCCTTGGTTTGCTGTATGTCATGATGCCACCTTGCTTGAGGTGGCGTTGATCTTGCTGCTTCTCATGGTATGCCGGTCACATCCACGCTGGCCGAAATCCTTGGCACCAGACTCATGAGCTGCGCAAGCATTTCCAACAATGCACTTTGTTCTTGCGTTGCTCGATTGCATTCGTGACTGGATGGTTGATTGTGTTTTTCTTTGAGCCGTTTCAAGTCAATATTACAGACACATCGCCATATTCTTCCACCCATCTGCCATGCAGGTTGGCAACAGCATGCACTTGACTTGTATCGGAGCGGCAGTTTGCGTTGCAATTTTTTTGACAGCGCCCAAGTAGAGGTTGTCATGCAAAAGAGTAGACGCCTGTTAATTACAATTGCTGCGGGGAGAAATTGAAAAACATCCAGCTTGCTTGCTGCTTGCTCTTGCCTCAGTCGGGCACTCATTCTTGTCTCACTTTCTTTAATCTCAGATTTTCGCACTTGTGAATGGCGGATTCTTTCCGGACAGGGAGGTTGATATCTGTTTGTTTGGTGCATGACTCTGAAATTGAAGACCATTTTGGCTTGGGCCATTGGATAGGATTTGCAGTCTTGTTTGTAGGCCATTAATCTCTGACCGCTGACAGTGACCTGATGGGAAAGGCTCGACAGCGGAAAGCTTCTGGCATGGTTGCTGATGCCCACATTGACGATGTTGGCAGTGCTTCGTCGGGATCTTCAGAGAATTGCTCTGATGCTGAGGTTTCCGGCCACGGCCACGCCCAATCCCCGGTGTTTGATGATCATGATGATCCCAAGTCCCAAGTCGTATCCAGGGCTGAAGCCGCCGGCAGAAAGGGTGGGAAAAGGAAGAAAGCACCTCCCCCTGAACCTGACGCCTCACCGTCAAGAGGGGTTCAAGAGCCTCCAGAGGGAAGAGACAAAGACAAGATCAAAGTGGAGTAAGGGCCTCAGCTTCTGAACAGTGTGAGAAAATTTTGAAATCTGGAATTCATCGAGCCACTGACTCGACTTGATTTCTGAATCTTGAGCCCGATGTCGTTGGGCCTTTCTTAGTTGCAATGGTTCCTTCCCTTTTTGGCAGTGCTGGTTAGGTGCCTGCATTGCAAGGAAGAGACCGCTATTGCCCAGGCTACCAAGAGGGGCAAGTTGTGGTCTTGTGATGCATGCAACAAAGCTCGGCGTGCCATCCTGGCTGAATACACAAAGAGGGGTCAGAAACACGTGTGGGGAAGGATGTCAAAGGATGCGAAAGATGTGGAAATCCGGAAACACAAAGGAAAGGCCCCTGGAAGAGGCAAAAGGTTTCCTGTCGAGATTGTTGAAGCGGTAGGGAGCTCAGATCTCAATCACCGAGGTCAGTAAAGGCATGTAGGCCCAGCGAGCAAACTTAGTAGCCTTAGTATATGTACTTTCTTGTTGGCGTGTTCAGTTCAGTGGTGATATTTGCGCTTGGCTGAGCTCTAGGCTCTAGACTTGATTGGATCACTCCTCTGCAACTGCACCTTTCCCATTTGCCAAGGTCGGCGTTGAAGATTCCGTTGCTTTGAACAAGGCAAAGAAATACGTAAATTTGAGGGAATACGTGAAAAAATGCAAGAAACGTTGGGGCATCAAGTCTGAGGAAGCCAAGAAAAGGTGGAAGGATCTTTTGGCCGACCCCAAGATCCCAAAGACTAACGACCAAATGGGTTGGGTGACTATGCCGGCCCTTCATGTCTTTGAGCGCAGGGCTTGGTATTTTTGATCCAAATGACTGCAAGGGTATCTCTTTCCCGCTTTTGCTAGTTCAAGCTCACTTCTCAGTTTCGCCAAGGTCAGTCGGCCAACGGAAGGTGACACATTCAGGACTCTTGCGGACATCACAGGTGGAGCAAACAGACGAAGCTGGCCTTCACAACCTGGCGAAAAGTCCGAACCTGAGCGGTTTTTGCAGGGCCATAGGTGCTTTTTTTCTTTTGAGCTTCATGCCGTGTGCACATGCTGCCAGTTGCGATGTTGCTGCCACTGAAGGACTGCGGACTGGGGACTTGCAGAAAGATACCTCTATCTTTGACCGCCACTGTGCGTGACTCAGCAATTCAATAGGCAGGGGGTTGCTTCGACCTTGTTGGGCGACTTAGGCTTCAACGACTTTTTGGAAGCGCCAGTGCTGGAGATGGAATCTGCCCTCGAACCAGCAGCAGGCCAGTTGGAGAAATTGGTCGGTAAGTACATCTTGAACGTAATAACTAAGCAAGTCACAATTTAGTCTTATTTCCACTGGCTGGCTTCCACTACAGACTTGCACTTAGATGTCCTGGCTCTGAAATGATTCTGAAGGTTCGAAGAAAGCTGCGTCCAAGTCCAAGCCCAAGCGCCGTGCTGCGCCCAAGCATGGAGATGATGATGACGCACCAAGGTGGGAAATCCTTTTGAGGGCTTTGCCAAGTTTAGTCAATGGTGAACCAAAAAATTCGACATGTTGTGAATCGGTTTAAATTTACGTGCTAGGCAGCCCATGCCCCGCCACAAAGATGCTCAGAAAGATGTTGCTCGCATTGCCGCTTTGCGGTCACGTCGCACACTCGTGGCTCAATTGGTGCTGGGCTTACTTCAATGGTTGTTGGTTTGCCGCTGCCCAATCCAAAAACACTGTTCCTTTTTGGTGGCCGTCTTTGCAAGTGTCAACCGCCTGAATTCAATTTGAGGCGTTGCAAATATTTGGTGGTTTTCCGGCATTTTCTGAGGCTGACAGGGCTCTAGAGCTTGTCAAGGACGCTGGTATGGCCATGGCTTCTTCCAAGAAGTTCCCTGCAGAACACCTTCGCGAGTCAGAAACTCAAAAGATATCCTTTTCTCAGGATGTGATACTGTGATACCTTGGCTTGTTCCTTTTACTTGCATGGCTACCACCAAACAAGGGTTGAAAGCCCATCTCCGTTGACCGAGGAACTTGGAGCTTGTGCTTGGGCAGATGCACAAATTGATGATGAACCTACCTGAGGAAGTCATCGTCCAGGTCAAAGATGCAAAGGAGGAAGGTGAGTCTGGCCCCATTCGATTGGCGTTAACCACTTTGAAGGAGTTCCTCGACAGACCAGAGAATTCTGTGGCTAAGATCCAACACAGTCCTTCTTCAAAACAATCCAGGGATGAGGCTCACCAATTTGTGGTTGCAAATGTTTTGTTTGCATTTGGCTTTAAATCCTTTGGTCCTTTACCAGCAGCAGTGTTTCAGATGCACAGCGTTTCTTCTTGCATGGGGAGGCCTTTGAAAATGATGCAGACTTGACTGAGAAGAAGGTCAAAAAGTTTGGCAAGCTCGTCAAGGGATACGGTGACGCACTTCAGGTGGCAATCCAAGGGTTCTATGAAGCGTGCGAAGAGCTTGAAGGCACCTAATGAAAGGGGGTGTCGAGTCCATGTTAGGAATGTCGCCAAAGTATTGCAACATTCTCATTTCCGCAATCTCAAAGTAGGCACCGTGAATTTGTTGGAGATATCTCTGGAGGTATTCCATCCGGTTCGGGGCATTCACCTTGGGAGTGTTGCAAGTAACAGCTTGCCGATGGCACATCGCAAGGTAGAATGGAAGAAGAGCAGGACGACGCCGACAAGGCGGATGGCTCAAGCACTACAAGTGAAGAATCTGATGATGGGGTTGAGAAACCAGAGCCTGATGCCAATGGCAGCATAGTACCATATGCGGACAGGAAAGTCCGCCGACAGGTCCGAAATTTCTCTAGCCCACATGGTTGGAAGCTGCTGGAAAGTGTTGAGAATCTTGGTCTTGTGAAGAACAACGTTCGAATGATGCCTTCGTCCCGGGTTGACACTTCGTGGGCTTCGCAGCACACAGGACAGCACCCGGGGCCCGGGGGTGCCTGCGGGTCAGGAAGGTTTAATTGGTAGTACTTAACCGCGGGCAATGGATGAAAAAATGCATTTTTTTAAAGAAAGCCCGCTGAGTGATTGACGTACAGCGCGCCCCAGCCCAACAGCATGATTTTTCCTTTTGCTTTGTGTTTGGTTAGGTTCATTTGTTGCTGTGTCTCAGGCGCCATCATTTTTGACGGCTTCAATGCGAAGATCCCTGAGAAGCCGTTGGAGGACTTCAAGGCGTTCTTTGGACAGGCAAACGCTTTGCAAGCACAGTCAAACCTGCAGAATGGTGGGGACACAGGACCTGCAAGGCACAAAATTTCAACCCATGCTGCCACTTTCACCAGCGTTCTCGAAACAGGGGATTGGACATGCCCAGATGAACGTCGTTTGCGACAGAGTTTTTGGTTGGGGACAGAGTGGGCGATCCAGCAAGAAGACTTCTTGCAAACCCTTCCAGAAGACTTGGCTAGCTTTGACTCCAAAAAGTTCTTCTGCCACCGGTACAGTGCTGTCAAACCTTTGTTTCAGTGCGTAGGAGACTTGCTCCCGCTGAGGTCTGTTTTCCCACGTTTTTTTTTCCCAAGTATTTGAAAGTAATGGTGTGGGTGGCTGCGGTGGCTGTCGAGCGTGAAAGCAAGACCTGTGCCAAGGAGTGTCTCCACTGATGATGTCACGGTTCATGGCAAACTACGAGGGTGTTCACTTTGTTGCCGGCGTCGGTCTTTGTGAACTCGCTCGAGGGATCCAGGAACACCCCACTTTGAAAGACAAGGCCGCGACTTTCCTAGGACTCTGTGAAGCCATGGTCTTGCTCACCAAGGAAGAATTGTGGGGCATGGGTGGGTTTGCAGTGACTTTGCAGCCGAAGCAAGTTTTGGAGATTCCAGCAGGTTTCGCAGCTTGGTGGAAATCAGAGTACTCATCCCTTTTAAGTTCATTGAGCTCCTTTGCTTGATCACCTTTGATGAAACGGGTTTTACTATCCAATAGTGTAGGCTACCGGCGACTACTGTGTTATTTCATGCTTTTGCCAGGTAACTGCGCAGACGTCCTTGTCTACAACAAGCATCTTTATGCACTGGACGGCACAACGGCCTGAAGCCAACTTCCTGAAATGGGGACACCAAGTCGACAAAGCAATTGAACTCCTGAAAGCAGATTTGGCCGTAGTGGATGATCCCGAACTTCACCCGGCCAAGAACTACCTCAACAACACAATCTCCCAGCTACGGGCGGCCCCATTTGTCTTGTTGTGGGCGGAGAAGTTGCTGTCTCAGTTTGAAGATTGGGGCAAGAAGATTGGTCTCCCTCATGACGCCGGTCTCGGCCTAGAATCTTTGGATGGCTTGCTTGAGAAATACCACTGCAAGACGCGGAAGAACACCTTCAAGTCAACAGCCGCGACCTTAAACTTAAACGGGTAAGAAATTTTCTGCTTGTGCTTCAAAACACTTTCAAGTTCTAAGTTCTAGTTCTAAGCGCTCACTCATGCTTGCTTGAGAAAGTGTCAGTGGTGTTTAGATATCAACATGCCAGCATGTCGGTTTGCGAAGGTTCAGAACTGCCAGAAGATCATAGAGGAGAAGGGTGGCAAAAGCCAGCATTGGCCGTTGGAAAAGTTGGTAGATGAGACGTGGGATGCTTCTTTGAAGCACGACATGTGCAGTTTGCTTGCCCCTGCCATCATAGATGCAGAAGACTCGGACTCGGAGGAAGAGAAAGCTAAGAAGAAACAGTCGGGAGAAGACTCGTTCGTTTTGGGCGTCGATCTGGAGTGTGCGCAAGATCTTCTGCGTGCCTTCATGAATATGCCCTACACACCTGCCGCAGCCGCAGCCAAAGCATGTCCAACTGAGCAAAAGGCAGATGCTCCTGCTCCTGCCCCTGCTCCAGACTTGTGCAAAGTCAATGCAGCGCTTGAGGGTAAGGCTGAGGACATTCCTGGGGCAGCAGATGCAGCAGATGAGGCCCCGGCCCCAGCAGAAGCAGAAGATGCTGCTTTTGGTCCATCATCGTGCAAACTTGAGGCTCCAGGATGTCTTTCTTCCCCAACGCCATGCAGAAGCTTAAAACTTGAACCAAAGGAATCGGAAAGGCCGAAGTTGAACCCAGCCGCGGCCGCGGCAGTTTCAAGTGATCTCATTGTCATTGACAGCGGGTCAGACGCAGATGGCGCAGAGGATGAAAAGGAGATTGAACCAAAGGAGGGCATGGAACCAAAGGGGCAGGGAAAGGCAGCAGAGGCAGAGGCAGCAGAGGACTTGGACTTTGACTGTGAGTATTTCACGAGGTTCAAGACGGATGATCTCATCAGGCTGAGTGACTATGTCAAAGCAGGCCCTCACTTCCAGCGCTTTGTTGCATGGATGATTGCTGAGCACGCAGTTGAAGATTCTTTTGCCGAGGAATGGGGCATGCCTGGTTCAGATACCGCCATGGAGTTGGAGGATTTCTCAACTTTTGCGAAAGCAGTCAAGCTCCAGTGGGATCCTTGCGAAGCACTTTCGTCTTCCAGTGCTCAGCCCATTGCTGCAGAGAAGCAGTGCCCGTCTCAGCGAGAGGTTCGGGGGGGCTCCCCCAACTAGATAAAAAGAAAAGAACAAAATGAAGATAGACACATGGATGCATAGATACATAGGTACATGCATGCATACATACATACATACATAAATACATACATACATACATACATACATACACCTTTACGTCTTTACATCTACACGTCTGCATAGATATGTTTGTATGTATGGTATGGTATGTATGGTATGGTATGTATGTATGTATTTAGGTAGGTAGGTAGGTGGGTAGGTAGGTAGGTAGGTAGGTAGGTGTGCATGTGTGTATGTGTGTATGTGTGTATGTGTGTATGTATGTGTGTATGTATGTATGTATGTATCTATCTATGTATGTATGTATGTAGGTAGGTAGGTAGGTAGGTATCTATCTATCTATGTATGTATGTATGTATGTATGTAATGTATGTAATGTATGTAATGTATGTAATGTATGTAATGTATGTAATGTATGCAATGTATGCAATGTATGCAATGTATGCAATGTATGCAATGTATGCAATGTATGCAATGTATGTAATGTATGTAATGTATGTATGTATGTATGCATGGATGGATGGATGGATGGATGTATGTATGTATGCGTGTTCGTATGTATGTCTGTCTGTCTGTTTGTCTGTCTGTCTGTCTGTCTGTATTTTTGTATGTATGTATGTATGTATGTGTATGTGTATGTGTATGTATATGTATGTATATGTATGTAAATGTATGTATATGTATGTGTATGTATGTATGTATGTATGTATGTATGTATGTATATGTATGTATGTATGTATTTATGTATGTCTGTATGTCTGTATGTCTGTATGTCAGTATGTCTGTATGTCTGTATGTATGTATGTATCTATGTATGTATGTATGTATGTATGTAAGTACGTAAGTATGTACGTATGTAAGTATATGTGTATGTATGTATGTATGTATGTATGTATGTATGTATGTATGTATGTATGTGTATGTATGTATGTATGTATGTATGTATGTATGTATGTATGTATGTATGTATGTATGTATGTATGGATGTATGCATGGATATATTTCAATTTGTTTATATTTCAATCTATGCTCATTTTTTAAGATGTAAAAGTCTTCACACGTGTAGTATGTATACGTGTATGTATGTAGTGTATGTATGTACGTGTATGATTCTGGATATATTTCAATTTGTTTATATTTCAATCTATGCTCATTTATTTAAGATGTAAAAGTCTTCACATGTAGATATACGTGTACATGTAGGTGTACTACGTGTACTTCTGCATATACATAAATAAAACACACACATATAGAAAGATATATATATAATACATTTATATATATATAATATAATAGTGATATCGTCTAAACCCAAATCATGTGATGGCCGCTAGGAGAAATGTTGCTTTGGAAACTTTGAGATCGCAGATTCAGAACTCCAAGCAGCGCAGCGCGGATGACTTTCCAAGTGATGGCAATGGCAAAGACAAGAAAGAGCGACATGGGCAGCAGGATTTGACTGAGGAGTTGGTTCGGCAGGCAGCAGAACAGGCAGCCAAAGAGAAGAAAGGACCGGTGCTCAAGGACGACGATCATGGTAGCGGCTCGGAGGACGGCTCAGAGAAGTCCGAGTTGTTTGAAGTTGAAGGGCATGGCAGTGGCGCTGCAGAGGCAGTGGCAGACACAGAAGAGGACGACTATGAGAACGGAGGTGATTCTCCACCCCAGCATGGTCGTGGTCGGGGTGGCCGGGGCCGGGGTGGCCGTCGTGGTCGTGGTCGCCAGCCCCAGGCCCCAAAAGCTGACAAGGTCAAAAAGCCAAAGAAAAAATCGTCCTAGCCAAAAAATCATGGCCAAGGACCGGTGTACAGGACATACTATACTGCATCCGTATCCATTTTTTTAGGTAGGTTGTGTAGGTGTAGGTTCGCGCGTGAGCAGTGAAAATCACTGACATAACATGGATGATCATGGATGCAACAGTCAACCACAGCTACTGTCACGAAAGCTTCCCGCTTTCAGTTTGAAAGATGAAACAGAACATATGTTGTAGCAGAACCCGGAGACAGGGAGCCAAGGAGTGATAGTGTGAGCGTGAGTGATGGTGGCAGTTGCGGTGGCAATGCTCTGTGCTTGTGGCATTTTGGTAGGATAGTGGGAGCGGCTTGCCAGTTTGCGTAAACAACGCAGGCAGTAGAGCAGAGAAAATGAGTGCTTTCGATTTTCCACCTTCGGCGGCGTTTCAGGTGCCAACTTGATTTTTGCGACTTAGATTTTGCTTTTAAACTTTGAGTTTCAAAGGATGAAGGAGTTCTCCATCCACCCAAAAAAAGGCGGTTTTCAACTGAGAGCCAAGTAGAAATGACGCATGAATTCTAAGAACCTGGGTATTGTGTGCACGACGTGTTTTTTTTTTGTGTATTGAACGCGTTTGGAGCCCAACCTAACTTTTTGATGTCCGCGATGAAATCCCAGCCGCAGTTAACATACTTCGCGGACTTGTATACGCACACACACGCTTTCACACACAAACGCTTTTACACACAGACGCTTTTACACACAGACACTTGGACAGAAACGAAAGCGTCCATCGCAATTTTTCCTCAGTTTTTGACGTCCAACGTCCATTTCGTGCGAAAGGGTTACGATTGACCAAGTAAAATCGCAATTTTTCCTCAGTTTTTAACGTCCAACGTCCATTTCGTGCGAAAGGGTTGCGCGGGACACCTCAAAGTTGCAATTTTTCCTCAGTTTTTGACGTCCAACGTCCATTTCGTGCGTAAGGGTTGCGATTGACACCTCAAAGTCGCAATTTTTCTTCAGTTTTTGACGTCCAACGTCCATTTCGTGCGTAAGGGTTGCGCGCGACCAACAAAAGTTGCAATTTTTCCTCAGTTTTTGACGTCCAACGTCCATTTCGTGCGAAAGGGTTGCGCGGGGCGCATCAAAGTCGCAATTTTTCCTCAGTTTTTGACGTCCAACGTCCATTTCGTGCGAAAGGGTTTTCGTGCGAAAGGGTTGCGCGCGACCAATAAAAGTTGCAATTTTTCCTCAGTTTTTGACGTCCAACGTCCATTTCGTGCGAAAGGGTTGCGCGGGACGCTTCAAAATCGCAATTTTACCTAGGTTTTGGACGTCCAACGTCCATTTCGTGCGAAAGGGTTGCGTTTCGTGGCGCTCCGGCGGCACCGCCCCCGCCTTTAAGAGAGAATAGAAGAAGAGCGAGAGGAGATCTGCAGATGTGAAGATGTGAAGATCTAGATCTGCAGGTGTGAGGGTGTGAAGATCTAGATCTGCAGGTGTGAGGGTGTGAAGATCTAGATCTGCAGGTGTGAGGGTGCGAAGATCTAGATCTGCAGGTGCGAGGGTGTGAAGATGTAGATCTGCAGATCTAGATCTTCACAGGTGTGAAAGTATGAAGATCTAGATCTGCAGATGTGAAGGTGTGAAGATCTAGATCTGCAGGTGTGAAGGTGTGAAGATCTAGATCTGCAGGTGTGAGGGTGTGAAGATCTAGATCTGCAGGTGTGAGGATGTGAAGATCTAGATCTGCAGGTGTGAGGGTGTGAAGATCTAGATCTGCAGATGTGAGGGTGTGAAGATCTAGATCTGCAGATGTGAGGGTGTGAAGATCTAGATCTGCAGGTGTGAAGGTGTGAAGATCTAGATCTGCAGGTGTGAAGGTCTGAAGATCTAGATCTGCAGGTGTGAAGGTGTGAAGATGTAGATCAGCAGGTGTGAGGGTGTGATGATGTAGATCTGCAGGTGTGAAGGTGTGAAGATCTAGTATAACGGCTGCTTTTTTACGAAGAACCCTTCGCAGGCGCTCTCGGGAAAAACACCATTTAATTATATAACATAGACCCGGGCAAGCCGGCGGCGGAAGTTTCCCAAACATAAATGACCTATAGTTCAAAGACACCCTGTCCCGACCGTGTCCTTCCCTCGACACTCCACACCTCACACTGCACTCTTCGCACTCCAAACTTCAAACTTCACACTCCACACTTCACAATGAACACTTCACATTCACAGTCAACACTCACACTTCCACTTTCACAGTCCACACTTCACCCTTCACACTTTCACAGTCCACAC